GTGGGAATGAAAAATAGGCAACATAGACTTGCACTGGGTGATTTATGCATGATGCATAGATGCATCATATATCGTATATGTATGAGTGCATCATATATATGTATATTGTGGGCACACGATCACGTGTAGGGTCAGCAACCCGCAGGATTACTGCCTGTGGGCACAGAGGAGGAGCAGGTGTCCAGCAGACACCTCAGTGAACGGCTGTGCCTGTGCGCAGAGGAGTTACAGCCTCTGTGTGTTCCCAGGCTATGCCTCATCCCACGGGGACGATTCCCTCACGGCTGGTTGTCTCTCTGCCCTGACGTCTTGCACTGGCAGTCAGCACGGGGCACACCATGCGTGCCTCTCCATTACATTATTATTTGGACCATGCCAGAATTCTAACCAGAAGCTGTGGTTTTCACCTTCATTTATATCAGTAATTGGAACCTACATGTTAATTTGTTGGGTTTTTTTCCTCAACTTGGTGTGCAAATCAGGCTCATGAGTTGTCAGTGTAGTTTTAAGCCCCTCACTTAGCATATCCACAGAATTAAATAAGCTGAAATCTCTTATGTGGTAGCTTCTGTAATTTTCAATATGTATTTTTTTATACATATTTGCAAATACAAAAGCCCTTTTTTGGTCCAGATGTCTTTATATCTTTGAAGAAAAGTAAGTGCCCTATGCTTAAAGACCTCTAAATGCTGACATTACAAATGCAAAGGGTGCTAGTAAACAAGTGGTGAAAGATGTTTGTCACCAGTTCTGGAGAGTGTTGTCATCTGTTTAGTAGTAGCTGGGCATAATGTGAGCAGTGCTAGAGCACTAGGCTGCATCTCAGTAACGTACACAGGCAGACAGGAGCCTTTACCAAGAGAGACTGGCAGTAGGTAAGAAAAACTGTTTATCTTCTCTGGTCTACTCATTGATTATGCTTTCACCACATCTGTCCAAAAAAGGACACATTGGAACCACATCTTGTGCTGTTTCTATGATGCCATGAGCAGCTTGTGTGTAACCACTAATCTGGAGATCAGTGTAGATAAAATGTTTTAAAAATTAAACAAGGTTGACATCTCCATGTGTGAACCTGAATGTCACACACATCAAATAGCTGCCACCTCCTCCATTGTGAGAGTTTCAAATATAGATATCAGCAGTTTTTCACCTTTGAAACATCGTTTGTAGATTTTTTTTTAAAGTTATGTTACCCTCACTCTAATCTGATGAGCTAGCTAGGACGCTGCAGCTTCTAAAGAGAAAAAAAGTGGCCACAAAATAAGATTTTCAAGTGAAAAAGGATTTGTTTTTCTTTTGAAGTTCCCCTTTATTTATTGAGAGGAGGAAGTGATGTTCCTGCTAAACTGTATGTGAAAGCAAAGGCTGGATCCCGTTAATGGCACATAGGCACACAGTCAGCAGTCAGCTGCAGTACGATGCCTGCGTTTGCAGATCTGAGCTAAAGAAATTTTAGCAATGCAATGCTAATATAAAAATAATAAGAACATACACTTGGAAGTTTTCCTTCGAAAGAGACACAAAAGGATGGAGCTGTCTGTTGGTTTGCAGAGCACCTCTGGATAAAAGGGGTCGCAGCAACTTTGTACAGGCGATTTAATTCTTCAGCAAGCAAGTGTGAATTCTCCTAAAACACATCGCCACGACTTGCTTTCTTCTAGGCTGAGAAAGCGAAATTATAGCTGCAGACTTTTCTGGTGTTTTCATTTAGATATGTGATAATCATATTCTTCTCTTACCTTCTTTTGTTCCCATGAGATTAAAGCTTGAACTTGCTCTTGCTTTTCTGATTTGCTGCAGAAATGCATGGAAATGAAGAACACCATCCTTGCAAAACAGAAGGAGATGCACAGCTCCTTGGAGAAGGTAAAACAACTGATCCGCCTCATCCAAGGCATCGACCTTTCCAAACCCATAAACTCTGAGGTCAATTCAGTAGCCATCTCCAATGGCATGGACTCCACTAACAATACTAATGCTGCCACCTCCACCTTAGCCCCGTCCCCTTCCCAGAGCTGCATGGTGAACTGTAACAAGGGCGATGAGACTAAATAACACAGTGAAGTAAGAAGGAGCCAGGGGAGGTGGCGGCGAGGAGGAGGAGCAAAATAACGAAACTCTAGAAAAGCAAAACCGGATTTCTTCTGGAAAGTGCAGAATTCTTTAGTTCTTTGGTTCCAGAGAGAGCGTGAAGATGCTTGTGCCAGGCGGCACCGGAGTTTGCCAATTGATCCTTCTTATTCTGTGTGTACATGCAAAGTTTGGATCATGTTACATGAATAGTGCCAGCTGGGGGTTCTTTGCCAGCACCATGCCAAGTGAAATAATATATTTACTCTCTCTATATTTTACACCAGTGTGTGCCTGCAGCAGCCTCCACAGCCACTATAGGTTTGTTTTATTTTTGTTTGGGGTGAGGAGCAGGGATGAGGGAGGAGAGCAGGTTTCAAATCCTTATTTGCAGAACAGTTTGTTTAGCTAGGGGAGAAAAATAAACAAGTCCAAAGAGCCTGTGGGCTTTTCCTGTTTCTAAACTCTCAGTACTATTAAACCAAAAAAAAAAAAAAACACAGAAATATAAATTATCAAATCCCAGTGCCCAAAAGGGACAAGTCTATCAAATAAGCAGTATTTACTATTGTTTAGACAGGAGACGTATAAAAGGAATAGAGATGGACTTTTCACTGAGTAACCAGCACATGTGCAGGCTGAGGATCTACTGTCCCAACAGTTTAATCCTATTTCTTCACATTAGACAAAAAAAAAAAAAAAGCATTGCAGAATTGGTTTGGGTCCTCACACTCATGCAGAAAGCCTGTGTTGGGAGTGGGAAAATAGAGGGCCAGAGTGGTCAGCTTGGAGTGTTGGATGGAGGTGTCCCAAGAGAAAATGTGCATCGATTACTTGAAACTGAGGTTCCAATCCTTTTCTATATTTATAAACAAACAAACAAAACGTATCCTGAACAAAGTAGCACATGACCCAGATGTGTGAACTGAACAGAGAAATGTCCTTTTCTTTCACTTCCTTTCTCTTTCTTTTGGTAACAAGAACTAAATAAGGAATAGAAAAGCTGTTTTCAGGCTGACAGTCTAATTAAAGAGGTAGATGGGACCTTGCATGGTATAGATTAGAAGTAATAGTGTCAGTGAGATACAGTGAGTCTTTGTGAGTCCTTGTGTCATCGTTTTGGGCACTGTTTTTTTATGCAAGGGCAAAATCTTTGTATCTGGGGGAAAAAACAACTTTTTTAAATTAAAAAGGAAAATAAAAGATATTGAGGTCTTCCTAGTGTTACTTAAAATAAGATCAAGGTAAGAAACATTGTAAAAAATTACAAAAGTGCTATTTGTTTCCTAAACAAGTGATTTCTATTAAAAAGGTGTCAGAACTGGAGAAAATGCTGTGTACTTAGAATTTTTTAACACAGACTTTGCTTATTTATGATGACATTCTGCTGTGTTTGTGTTTTAAAAGCAGATGGGACAGTTTCCAGAGATTATACTATACGTGCTACTGGCTACTCTAAACTGACTCAAATCCTACAGGGCTGGATCTCATCCCCACCTGGAGGATCTGCCAGGCTTATCTCCGCTGTTAAACACTGCCAGTATATCCATTGGCAGTATGCTTGTTTAAGGCTTTTTTACCTTTGTAATATGGACCAATTAGAGCTTGGGAATGAAAGACAGCGAGTTTGTTGGACTGAAATCACCTTCTGCTATATCCTCTTATTTCAGAAGTTCTTCTCTCTCATATTATTACCCTTTTACTCTAGGTAGCAAAGCTGGCCCTGTGCTTCCCTTTATAGTGGACATGGCCTCAACTTACAGTGTTGATCCCGTTCCTTATGGTTGTGTCCCAGAGCTGCCTTGTTTTCCTACTGCATATCGATATCTGGGCAGCCCCTGTTTCCGCTGCACTATGGCAACGTTCCCTTCGCTTGCAGTGGGCGCAGGGCTGGGAGGCGCTGTCGGAGCGCCCGGGCTCGTGTCGGGCTGCGAGGCAAACTGATGCTCCTGGCCGAACGGTGGAGAGGCTTGCACTGCCACGAGGTGCCTCTGAAGAGCAGGCCGGCGGTCCAGGCGACACGCAGGCTGAGAGGGGCTCTTGCTGCCCCAGCTAGGGAGCTCCTGCAGGATCTGGGGAGCTGTTTCCTTTCCTCTCCTTCAGGCGGCCCTTCTGGCCTTTAAAGACCTTTCTTGCTTGCATAGCAGTGAGTGCGCCCTATTTGCAGCATGGAGCTCAGAACTGATATCCTGAGTACTTGGGCTTGTCTGGAGCTTGGGAAGGCTCTCGCCTAAGCCTGCAATAACCTCCACTCCATTCTTAGTTGTTTTCCTGTTCTGGAACTAGTAGAGCTGCAAGGATAAGTTAGCAAAAGTGGAAGCTGTGCAAGAGACATCAAAACTGATCAAGAACAAAAAATCTTCACATCAACTCACTTAGCACTGGAATTCATTACCACAGAGCATCATTGGGCCAAGGACCTATAGCATTTAAATGTAGAACTATGTATTTGAAGCAATGAAGTGAAATAATAAACTGGATATGAGCCTTCTTGTTTTAGAATATAAGCCAACTGCCAGATACTCAGGAGAAATTTCCTTTCTGGCCAGGTTATTCTCTACTTGGTCACTCGGGTAATTCCTGCATCTTCTTCTGAAGCATCTAGTATGTTCCTTGTAAGAGATGGGATCCTAGATTAGTTGCACTCAATCTTAGTCATTCACACGTTATCTCTATCGTAATTTTCTCAGCTCTCCTGGAAGCACTGTACTGTTCTGGGGTAGCAACCTGTCTGAAGGCTGACAGTCCTCCTGTTTTCTTTGCTGATTTAAGCAGGGATGCAAGTGAAATTTCGTGGTAGCCATGTTTAAATCCGAGGGCAATTAACCAGCCAGGAATTGTTAAAAGAGCCGTTACTGCTTTTCCAAAACATCTACTTGTCTCTAGTTTCCCAGTGGGTAAGTGTGGACTTTCTTCTCCCTTTTGTATTACAGACTATAAAAGCACACTTTCTGTTAGTCATCACCTGGCAGAGAAATGATCTTAACTTTGGCTTTTGATGCTGCTAGGTAGTTCTTGTTCCTTGATCCTTTTTGGGCACTTCCCCTCCTGACTCTCTGCACAGGCAATGCTGCTGCTACGTAGACACAAGTAAATCGGGGCCATTTCTGCCCAATAGGAAACAATGGAGTGGAAGGGGAATTGGCATTTGCTAAAGAGAGGGAATCTTTTCACCTAGCTGCTCTAAGCGGTTCCAAACAAGGAATCATTTTAAACTATTTAACAGCTTTTAAGTGTAAGCTTGTACAAAGGTCTGCTGTTCTTCTTTTTTTAACTCATGTTGTATTTTAGATTGACTGAGTTTTTATTAAAACTTATGTTCTTTGGAAAGCTATCATAATGGCTAACATTCTGTATTTCCAAGCCACCACAAAGATATTAACAAATTCATACATCATTGCTTGTTGGTGGTAGGAAGTAAATGACTTCAAAATCTGTTATGAAGGTAAAGAAGCTGCTGCTGAGGAGAAACATATCAGAGATGTTCCTGACCCTCAGCCCAGTGCCAAGGGCCTGGGCTGAAGACTTCAAGTCACCCTGGTGCTTTGACTTCAGGAATAGAGTAAGAGTTGCAGAAGTCAATTTTCCCTTCTTCTTGCAATCTGTTCTAGAAGCAGCTGGAGAGGTGCGGTGTGCTCCAAGGGTGAACAGGCGACCTGGCTAGAACAATTAGTATTATCACTAGTATTGTTATCATCTTCCTTCAGTGCAAGCTGTACACAACGTGGTAAAGGCAATACTAGGGGTTACTGGTAGGCAGGGCGAGCAGGATGGATGGTTCTTTCAGGACACCAGTAGCCACTGGCTGCCATGGTGGTAGGGGAAACCCTAAAACTTGCACAAAGCATGCCCAAAACAAGACTTTTGTCCTTAGTTGCAGACAAGTTTCTGTTCATGGGGATATGAACTAAAACCTGCTGACCTAGAAATTAAAGCGATGATAATTCTAGGCAGATCTGTTAGCTTTGTTGTGGGTAGGAAAAACAAGGTTGTATTTTATCCTTGATAACTGATCAGCCTTCAGAAAGCATGTAGGTATTCCAACTGTCTAGAAATATGAACACTAATTCTGACATCCTTGGCTTCAAATCATCCTTTCCCATGAACTGTGGCAGAGACAGCCCTTGGATGCAGCATAATCAGCATTTAGGAAGACCCAGAGTGAAATCTCCCTCTTAGTCCCACCAAGCCCTGGCAGCCCACAATGCAGGGAGCAAACTCCATTTCCTTCTCATGTGGATGCAGTGAAAAATACTTGTAAGTTTGTACTGCACATGTTTCACTTTCCTTCCTTTTCTCAACTAGGTCGTACCATGCTCTCTGTGCTTTTGAAGCACTAATGATGAATATATATATACACATACATTTAATGAAACCTGTTTTTAAAAAAATCACCTTCAGACGTCAAACCAAAATTGACTGTTTTCCTGGGCCCTTCCCTGGTACCATCAGCTGTTCAGGTAACCACTGAAGTAATGATATTACACTTCCTGCTGGACCATGCCCCTTTGAGCGGCACTGGCTGTGTCTTGTCACACTGTTTTGACCCTTTTTCACCTCCCTGTGTCCTTCCTTGGCATTCTGAAGACCTAGGGCAAGTTCAGCCTTGCTGGGTTGCTGCAGAGAATTTCCTGACAAATATGTAGGAATTCTTCAGAAAAGTCAGGAACCTGGAGGAAGAGGAAGATGTTTTGCCATGCTCATGCTTTGGCGTTTAGGCTTGTCTGGTCCACAAACTACCTCAGCAAAGGCCATTCCTGAGCACTGTCTGGATTCGGTCGTTTTTGTCATTCCGAAGGCAAAATGTCTCCGAGGAACGCTTGCAACAACCGGCCAAGTGAGGTGCTGGTCTCCAAATGCATGAG